GGCAAACTTAAAACCTGCAGAAAAACTAGAAATTTGCAGTAACTTTCTTGTTGCACTGGGTACATATTCTGGGTTATATTTATATTAGACGTTATTTGAATCGGAAAAATATATACACTTATTTGAATAACAGCTGATTATCTCCTGATATTTTAAAACTAACCATATCGACAAGTGACACAATTCTGTGGGATCCGTCAACAGTTCGTCCCAGTGGTAGTGGTGTTGGTTATCGTTACTTTCGAGTATTCGTTACTAATCGTTACTCTTCTACAAAGTAATCGTTTATTGTATTCGTTACTTTGATTACTATGAGTAGTATGAGTATAACGATTGTCGAATTTAAACAAGTTGAATGGAACCGAATCTTGCAAGAAAATAGACGACCTTAAAATTTGCAAAATGTTATAAGCATAGTTTATTCAAGACTATCGTGTTTAATGCAAACATTGTATCTTCAAACTGTATGCTTATCGAGATGAGTTATCATAGGATGGAGTGTCATATGACTCATATGAGACTGCAAACTGAAAATACTTTGTATTTACTAGAAATATTTAAAAACATGTCTTTTAGTCAGAAAGATGATCAAAATATATGGGCTTAAGGAAATTCGAAATGGCATGTGACTTTTCGAAGCATTTCAATTAAGCATAATATACCAGTATAAAAAATTCTTGGTTTACACATACTATTGGTGGTCATACTGAATTATAATTTTTTTAGCAAAACAGTGCATGGAAACACGAGTCAAATTGACACAACTTTTATTATTGTGGTTTTCCTGAACGGTGGTGTTACCTTGTTGTCGCTTTTCTGCCTAATAATACTGCCGAACTTTGATCCGATCCAATCGAGTACTTATTCCTTTTCAGGTTCCCAAGATCACAACAATAAAAGCGAATTTGTGTCACGGTGTAAATAGGTAAACTTCAGATTTAAATGAGTTTCCAGGTTTCCATCTGAATGTGGGATGTCTGGCAACCCTGGTGCATGAGCGGTGGTGCTACAGTCTAACCAGCGTTACCCCTCAACGATCAACGACTGTACAGGTACCGGGTAGGGATACGGAAAACAGAGTAATCAAAGTAATCAAAGTAATCATTTCGTGCTCGGATTGGTACTCGTTACTTCGGGTATCTATGAGTAACGAGTACTCGAGTTTCGTATGATTACTCTTTCAACACCACTACCCAGTGAAGCAAACTCTGCCAACTGTCGAAATAAACTTTATTAATTCCAAGTCTTATTTTGTTTTACTGTGCCTGCTTAGATATTCAAATACGGCCAGGAATTATTAGCGCCTGGCTATTTTAGGCCTTCAATAACTCCTTATTTTAGATCTCTCCTTATTTTGTTTTTTCCACGCATTCATGGTAGAAAGAAAAATATGTTATCGAATATCGAAACCGTATACCGTGCAGCAGGCACGCCCATCACTACTTTGACAGATTGCAGAATGATGTCAAGGTGACAATCGTTATGTGTTTTTGTTTTTGTCTGAAATAGGAATTTCATATTTCGAAACGATGTCAAGGGCCGACTGGGGAAAATCTTTCTCTATCGTCGCCATCCCTATATTATATCCCCACCAGTCACCAGTCAAAAACCTTAACCACCAATATTTGATCACAATTTATAATTCTTTTAGCTCTTATTTTCAGTAATTACTAATAATTTTAGGCCTATGTCTACAGTAATTGCATTATGCACCTCGGAGATGTAGGGATTAACATGTTTTACACATATCGGTGTTTTAGGATGGGGACGTCCAAACTGTTTTGATTGCTTTGAAGAAATTCATTAACCCATGAATTTATAACAAATGATTACTATTATGATGTAAAGGGAGATGAGGAATTGGTTGGAATATATTTTATATTCTATTTTCTTGCCAATCCGCACAATTCAACAGGTATGTGTAGCTATAATGATCTCATAATATACACAAAGTATATTGAACTTAACAAATTTCGAGATTGCCATGAATTAACAAACGACCAAACCTGCAGCCAAATTTAACAGCTAGAAAATCGACCTATTATTTCTCCCATTCCCATTCGCTGAGGGGATAACGGATTGTTAAATGTAAACCTATAACATATATCAAAATACATGAAAGTTGTCCTGTTTTTACTGTACAAAAGCATTATGTTGGAATCAAAAAGTGGTCTTGTTTATAATACAGTCGAATTTTTTGACAGCTTCCGTCAAATTGCATTTCGATAAGGTATTTTCCTATTGGTCCATAATAATAATGTTGGTGAAATCGGCCCCCAAGTGTTTTAATTCACATTAGAATTATATTTGATTTCCTCCAATGGTGATAAAATCAACTCATCTTGAGTTATTCTTACATTTTGCGGCAGCGAGCGGTCGGAAAATGTAACAAATGTAATTACGCAATACAAATTATTACTGCCGGCGTCTACGCAGGTGAAAACCATTCGAAGCAGGACGCCACTCCCCCAATGAGCCCCTACAAAATCCAACCCGTACGTCCTCGAGTTCGTTCTGCGGGCGGCCTTGGGCGCTGAACCGTGTGCGACCGTGTAGGGGGGGCAACGGGGTGCCGGTCTTGCGGTGGACCGCCTCGATTAGTTTTTGAGGAGACCCGCCGGAAAGCCGGTAGCCCGGCCAATCGAATGATTCGTTGAGCCACAGGTGTCTCGGATGTATATCTGGGACGCCTGCAGCTCAACGGTCATCATGGGCAATGGTACGTTACCCAACCCAAGGTGTTAAGCGATTCCGTGCCGAGGGGTGCGTGGCGGTGGGGATGCACCGTCTTAAACGGAGCCTCTGGGACACCGGGCGACCTCCCAGAGTATCCAGCCTTGCGTCCGTGTAGGGGCACCGCGGACGTCGATCACCACTTCCCCTATACTCGTGGGAACATTATGGAACCAAACGATGGAAAAAATAATAAAAAACCCGAGGCCCCCCCTACAGGGGACCCCGAACATCCAGGCGACCCCTCACCAGGGGACCCTGATCGTACTCTGACAGAGGAATCTGTCAGAAGCTTAGCGAGAGAGCTAGCGGAAAGGGTGGGCTCTCTAAAGATTAAGAAAAGTCTCGGCCAGGTTCCGAAAGGAAAAGGGCTCGGAAGCGGAGAGAGGCGCAGATGACGGAGGGCTCGGAAGGTCGGGGCACCACTTCTGGGACCCCGGCTGGACGGACCCAACCGCCATCTGGGCTAGACGGTGCGCAATCCGGTGTGTCAGCGGAGACCCTAAAGCGGCCCGGTGACGGGAAGCGGCAGAGGTCTGCCGGTGGGACACCGGAGGGCGCATCCTCGCGGAAGAAGCCTCGCACTGCGACGCATGCGCAAATTAGTTATGCGCGAGCGTCCCAAGCGGGTCTCAGGGTGGCCGTCGTGTCCGACGGTTATCCTGGGACTCAACTTACTAATGTACAGGTGCAAGCAGGTCCAGGAGGCGGTCAGTGTGCTGATAGATGGGATCCCAGATGAGGTGACCCTTCCCAGGTACATGACTGCTACCCTCTCTCGAGGGGCAGCCATCTTTGTCTGCGAGGACGAATCCTCTAGGGCATGGTTGGAGGCCCACGTGGGGGGATCTGCGGCCGTGGGAAGGCGCAAGGCTCATTACGATGAGCTTTTGGAGACCTTCCCATATACCACCGCGTGATGGCCTGGTTTCCGGGTCCCAACCTGGACAACGGGGTCATCACGAGGAGACTCAGGAGGCACAATCCTGGGACTTTTCCCAGCGCGTGGAGGATACTTGAGAGGAAGGAAGAGCCGATAGGTGTCCGACTTGTCCTCTCAGTTGATTCCATAAGCTGGAAGGTCATTGTAGGTAACGGCAACAGGCTGTGTTGCGGTGGAAGTTCGGGGGTGTTTACACTCCTGAGCAAGAAGAAGAGCAGTGGAGCGACACCTGCTGGAACTGGCCTGGCTCCAAACCAGGAGTCGGACCAGCCCAGACCGACGGGAGCTGTGGCGGTAGACCAGGCTCCTTCACAGGGGATGGGTCGGCCGGGTCAGCTCTCGCTGGAGCCACCGGAGGCTACGGACGTGGAGGCGGCGGGTCCAAGCGGGATATCCGCAGAAAACATCGTGGCGGACCCTGCGATGGATCTGGTCCCAGAGGAAAACGATAGCGACTCGGACGAGGATGGAATCCTGAACCGAGTCCGAGAACTCCTCCGTGGAAGCGGAGATGAAGGCGGCTGTGGCAGCGATGACTGCGGCGGCGACGGCGGTACGCCCGAATAGGGGTTACATACCGTCATTCGGGAAGGTGTAGGAAGGGCCTCTCAACATCCATGGTAAGTTTTAATTTCATCCAAATTAACTTACAACACTGCATAGCGGCTTCGAGGGCCCTTACTCAGGAGATCACTCGAGGCCGACATGACGTGGCTCTCATCCAGGAACCCTGGCTGAGAAACGGTTCAGTAAACGGGCTTAGTATACCGGGCTATACGCTTTTTAGCGATACTCCGGACACTAAGCCCAGAGCTTGCGTAATGACTTCCGTCAACTCATGGCAACTTAAAGAATTTACATTTAGAGACTTAGTTGCAGTCAGAATTAGATATAAGAAGGAAGGCAGTGACAGGGACTTGGTTGTCTGTTCGGCTTACCTTCCTTACGATTCAAGAGACCCTCCTCCGTCTAAGGAAATGGGGGACCTTGTCGCATTCTGTAGGGATTCTGGACTCGACCTTGTGATTGGATGCGACAGTAATGCCCATCACGTTGCGTGGGGCAGCTCGAACACCAACAGACGAGGCGAAGACCTGATGGAGTTTCTTGGGGCATCGAACCTTGAGGTTCTGAATGTCGGTAACATGCCCACTTTCAGCAATAGTGTAAGAGAAGAGGTTATCGACGTAACACTGAGCACGCTTAACTTAGCTCAGGACATCAGGGACTGGAAAGTGTCTCTAACACCCTCTCTATCGGATCACAGGTATATACTGTTCAAGACTGATGGAGAGATTCCGGATAAATATGCTCGGAATCCCAGGCATACTAGATGGGGGTCCTTTAGGGCAGACATTGACAGTAAGCTTGGAGCGGTCCCATACAGGCTTGGCAGGGGCTCTGACATAGAAGCAGCTGTCGAGTCTCTGAGCAGGGACTTGACGGCCGCATATGAGGAAAACTGCCCGTTACGCAAAGTACAAGGTAAGGGCAAGGCAACCTTCTGGACCAAAGATTTAGAGGATAGAAAACGAGCGGTGCACAAACTTCTTAGCAGAGTTAAGCACAGGAGAGGTTCTCCTCTATGGGAAGAATACAAAAAGGCATTGCAGGAGTACAAAAAGGAGATTAGAAGGGCCTCCAGAGAATCCTGGAGGCACTTCTGTCAGTCCATAAATGACATTCCTGCTACTGCAAGAATACACAGAGTCCTATGCAAAGACACTAAAGCAAGATTGGGATCTCTGCATGATCCCTCGGGAGGGAACACTACTTCCGAGGAAGATACTCTGAGGCTTCTGATGGATACGCACTTTCCCGGTTCCACAGTAGCGCGATCAATCACAGAGTGCATGCAGTTGCGCAGGCCCTCAAGGGAGGACTGGCGCACGGCAAGGGAGATTGTCACCTTCGAAAGGACGGTATGGGCAGTAGATTCGTTTGCCCCATACAAAAGTCCAGGTCTGGACGGCGTATTTCCGGCCATGTTACAGCAGGGACGGATTTCGGTTGTTCCTTACCTGTTGAATGTGTTTCGAGCATGTGTGGCCACGGGCTTCACACCTAGAAGTTGGCGGCAGGCTAAAGTGGTATTCATTCCTAAACCGGGCAGAGATAGATATACTGGCCCGAAGGATTTTCGACCGATTACTCTTTCATCTTTTGTGCTTAAGACCCTGGAAAGGATAGTTGATAGATACCTAAGGGATGGCCCTGGAAAGGTGTGTCATTCATACCTAAGGGATGGCCCACTGGAATGTCATTCATGCAAATCAGTTTGCATACCAAGCTGGAAAATCGACTGATCTGGCCTTACACAATCTGGTTGGGAGGCTGGAGAAGACTCTAGATCAGCGAGAAGTGGCACTCGTGGCCTTCTTAGATATTGAAGGTGCATTTAATTGCACCACAACCGACTCTATCAGACAGGCCTTGGTTAGACACGGGGTTGGATCAATCCTAATAGATTGGGTCCTCTCTACTCTGGAGGGTCGGGTAACAACAGCTATGCTGAATAACGTAAGCTGCAGCGTGAACGTAGCTAGAGGCTGCCCTCAGGGTGGAGTTCTGTCACCCCTACTGTGGTGTATCGTGGTGAACGAACTGCTCGTTAGGCTCAACAGTATGGGTGTCTACGTGCAAGCCTATGCTGATGACGTAAGCATAGTGGTTAGGGGGCGTTTCTGTAGAACAGTCTCGGAAATTATGCAGGGCGCTCTGCGCTCCGTGGAATCGTGGTGTAGGGAAGTCGATCTTTCTGTTAATGCTGAAAAGACCGAGCTGATCCTATTCACTAGGAGAAGAAGGCTTGACGGACTGGTCATGCCTACCTTCTTTGGGACTAGATTAGTTTTGTCCCAGTCAGTGAAATATCTGGGAATTATCCTGGACTGCAAACTGAACTGGAGAGAGCATGTGGAACACAAGGTTAG